ACCCAGCTAATTTTTTTGTATTTTTAGTAGAGACGGGGTTTCACCATGTTGGCCAGAATGGTCTTGATCTCCTGACTTCGTGATCCACCCACCTTGACCTCCAAAAGTGCTGGGATTACAGGCGTAAACTACCATACCTAGCCCCAAGTTATCCATTTTTATTTTTATTTTTTACTTATTTTATTTTTTTGAGACATAATTTTACTCTGTTGCCCAAGGTGGAGTGCAGTGGCATGATCTCGGCTCACTGCAACCTGTGCCTCCTGGGTTCGAGGAATTCTCGTGCCTCAGCCTCTTGAGTAACCAGGATTACAGGTGCCTACCACCATTCCTGGCTAATATATATATGTATGTATGTATGTATATATTTTGTATTTTTAGTAGAGATGGTGTTCCACCATGTTGGCCAGGCTGGTCTCAAATTCCTGACCTCAAGTGATCTGCCTGCCTTGGCCTCCCAAAGTGCTGGAATTCCAGGCGTGAACCACTGCACCTGGGAGTTATCCATTTTTAATTGCATTAATCTATGCAAAAGATATTTAGTAGTCCCCATCAGACTGAGCAATTCAACAGTTAAGATAGTCTTTAAACTGTCAACTCTTAGCACTTAATAAACATCGGTAAAGTAAACAAAGTACTTGCACTGGGAAGGTGCTGTGAAAACCATGTGGAGGATCTCTCTCGTGGTTTTCTGTTCTTGCTCAGTGAAGACTGTTGGCCTTTATCATTGTTTACCACAGGGTGTCACTTCAGAGCAAGGTTTCGAAAAATGCCTTAACTTAGGGGAACTTGGCTGTTCACTATAGGATTAGTTCTGGTCTGGCATTAAACACTGTTTTTACCAGAACTTTTGTAAGTTGAAAAATATAACACAGTTGCCAAACACACGTTCACTGAAACTTGTGCCCAGTCAGCCACCCAAGATAAGTTCAGAAACTCCTCAGATTGTACAAGTCTTCACTTTTCGTGGAAATGAGGAAAGCCGGGTTCTTGGGAGAGCAAGAGCACACCCCCTCTACAGCCACCAACATACACACACAGATTTCACATTCTTTTAAGATGACTTGACTATGTTTGTGTTTACTTCTGAAGTGTTTTGCGTATGTAGTTTTAACCTTTTATGAGAACGTTGAAACCTGCTAGTGAAAAGTGGCATTTGGTTACCATGGAAACTAAACTGAGCCCAGACCATCACTTAAGACCTGCAGCCTCTCCTGACAAAGTATGGGTTCCTTTGCAGGAGTCTGTGCTCTCTGGGGAGCCATGCTTTTGGTACAGGTTGAGAACTTTACCAGCACTGCCACTACAATGGAGGTCTCTAAAAGTTGAGTGATTTCCATGTCGCTGAAGTCATCCATCTGGATGATCCCTTGTTAGTAGGTTCACAGATTATGTGTAATTCATTCAAGGGCTGACCAGGTTATTTACACAATGCTCCTGGATTTCTGTCTTTGGTGAATGTAACTAGTGTCTGTGCTGACAGGTGCCTTGCTTCACCCCAGGTACGCATGGTGGTGGAACATTGAAATTCAAGGCCATGCTTTGGGCTGTTGCTACAAATTTGCCACCAAGAAAAAGAAAGTTCCAGAAGGGGCAGAATAGGCAGTAAGGAAAAGAAACACTGTTATTGTTGATCACTGCCTAATTGAGGCGAGGTGGAATTTTATTTTATTTTTTTAAGATTGAGTCTTGCTTTGTCACCAGGCTAGAGTGTGGTGGTGTGATCTTGGCTCACTGCAGCCTCCACCTCCTAGGTTCAGGCAATTCTTCTGCCTTAACCTCCCGAGCAGCTGGGACTACAGGTGCGTGCCACCATGCCCAGCTAATTTTGTGTATTTTTAGTAGAGTTGGGGTTTCACCATGTTGGCCAGTATAGTCGATCTCCTTCGTAATCCGCCTGCCTCAGCCTCCCAAAGGACTGGAATTACAGGTGTGAGCCACCATACCCAGCCTGGGTGGAATCCTTTTTAAGTGGTTTCTTTTAGCCCTGACTGGGGTATGGATACCACAGAAGATACAAACATGAGTATTGTTTGCCTTGAGGCTGAAAGAAAAAGATAGAGTTGCAATTGGGCTTTTTTAATTATTATTTTTAAAAATCTTTGCCCTTGAAATAATGGGATCCCCCAAGAAAATATCCATCCAAACCTTCTAAACAAATGAACACACCTAAGTGCAATGGGAAGAAAAGAGGTACTAGCCCCTATGAGGTGCCTCTCACAAGTAAGAGCATTTCTTAATTTTCTTTTTTATTATGGAGATGCTAGATATCGGCTGTTTCTTTTTGTTATATGTAAATTTTCAGTGCTATAAAAGAAGTAGCACTTGAATATAAATTTCCTCAGCAAGGCAATTTACTTCTATAGAAGGGTGCGGCTCACAGATGTAACAATGGTGAGCACACACCTGGACAAGGGATGGGAAGGAGTTCTTATTCCTGATGGAGGTAGCCCCTACTGCTGTGACGTTCCCGTATTGGCTAGGGTTAGACCACACAGTCTAGCCTAATTCCGATTGGCTATTTTAAAGGCAGCAGGGGTAAGAGCCAGAGTGGTGGGATGGGTAGTTTGGAGGGAAGGATAGGTCAGAGCAGGTAGCCAGGGGTGACCTAGGTCAAAGCAGGTGACTGGAGCAGGGGACCAGGGGGATAGATGTGAACTACTGATTGGAACTGGTGGAAAAGGTTGTTTACTGAAACTACAAGGAAGTTAAACTTTAAAATGGAGGACAAAGAACTGAGCATACTGACATACTGATTCTTTGAAGAGAAACTTGGAGTTCACTATGTCTTACATTTTCTAAGTTCTGCAGAGTGAGAATGTAATCTCTAATGAATTTTTCAGTTTATGAAAATACTATTAGAGAATACAAATTAGGGTGTTCCCATGAGGTCTGTCCGTAATAGTTGTTACTAGTTACTGTTATTACTAGTTTAGTCCTTTCTGCTCTGGGATTATCCCTTTTCTCTCTCAACTGGTATTTCTTACTGCTCTCATTTATCATTTTCTTTTTTTTCCCCCCAAATTTGTATATTTATAGCTTCCTCCAAAAGATAGTTTTATCTGATCTTAAAATGCTAAATGTATTAATTTGTATTTGTTTGTTTACATAGTGGATATTTGGGTCTCTAAATCTTGTGATGTTTCTCTACCCTCACCACTGGGAGAATTAGAATAAGAGAATTGAAATAAATTCTTACCGATTGTATTAAGATCTCCATTGGGCATATCGGGTGTTTTATCTGTAGGAGCTTGGGTATTCTGTGTATTCATCTATTCATTTATTGAACAAATGTTTATTGAGTGTCTGCATGTGCCAGACACTTCTGTAGCTATCAAGGGTACGGTAGTGAAGAAAACAAAATGCCTGCCCTCATTAGACTTTACCCTCTAGTGTGGGAGATGGACGATGAACAAGTAAACGTATAGAATGTTGTATGTGATAAAGGACAAGTAAAACATGTAGTATGTTGTATGTGATAAAGGCTGAGAAGAAAATTAAGCTGGGAAGTGAGGGAGGCTGCACTGAAATTTAAGGTTGGATGGATGGAGAAATCCTTGGTGCAGATCTATGGGGGAAGTGCCCTGGTTAGAAGGATTCTGTCTCAGGTGCAAAGGCCTTGAGGTGAGAACGTGCCTGGGATGTCTGAGGAACTACAAGGAGACCAGGATAGCAGGAGCAGAGTGCAGGAAGGGTCGCTTGCCCCTTTACCTCTCACTGTCTGCCAGGCGCATCGCCCTGTCTTTTGCACTTAGTAACATCCACATATTCATGGAATGAATTAGTGAAATTGGATTCCAGAACTTTCAGAGAGAAAAATCAACAGCAACTAGATAGGCATGTGACAAAACAGGAGAGGTCAGATGATGTCATAACTAAGGGCATGGTGGTGGAGAGAGAGTGGTTTAGGTGGGAGGGGGTAGAAGGAGTGGGGTTTGAAATGGAGATGTCACATAGTTGGAGACGCAAGTTGGCTCTTGAGAGAGCTCAGGCAAGAGAGATTTGGTGGGGACAACTGAAGGCGAAGGATTTAGGATTTCCTCCAGGGAGATGGTATTGGGCAGGAACTCACAGAGAGTGAGGGACTCGTTCTATAGGCAGAACCTTGAGGATGAAGTAGGCAGCAAAGAAAAGCAGGAGTTGAGCGTAAAGCCAGTGCTCTGTGGCCCGTGGCGGTGCGTTGATAAGATTAGGAGGATCCAGATGAGGACCAGACAGACACGTCTGCAGTAAAAGTGAACATCAGAATAGAAAATATGTACTGTTATGCTGAACGGAAATGAGGGTCTATGTTGGGGGCTCTCGAAGTCACTTGAGCTGTGAGGAGGCAAGATGGGCTCGTTTGTGATGTAGCCTTCAGCGTAGTGCTGATGTGCCCGTGTTACCAGCACATGGCACACTCCGGGGTGTGAGCTGAAGCTCTTCCAAAGGCCCATCTGCCTGGAAACCCTGATGTCTGGCTGTTTAGCTCAGAGCCCTGCGATCGTTGTTTTCACGTCTACCATTAGGCTTCATTTAGGAACGCTTTGCTTAGTGAGCGCTCTGTGCTAAGCAGAGTGTTGCTGAACGTAACTGAGCTCATCAAAGGGATGCCTGCTCCCATGGTCAGTATCAACAGGCACTGTGGTTTGATAACTTGGGCTGTGCCTAGTCAATGCACCAAATCATAACTCATTAGCCACGGGCAGGGAACAAACTTCAGTTGCTACTCGTCAAGGTTAGATATTAACTACCAAAAAATGAACAAGGTAATTTTGGGTCAAAAGGAAATGTGCTCTGTTTGTCTTTAGACATACTAGAAGGTGGTTTTGCTAAGTCAAAACAGTCAAGATTGGAAGAAGCGGTTGCTCCGGGATCCTCTGTCTCAGTAACAGAAGGAAGAATGTTGGCAGGTAATGTCATGCACCCCAGCCTGTGGTTCAAGTAGGAGTGGGAGGAAATGGTCAGCACAGGCTGTACCAACATGAATTGCATGTTGGGAGGTGTAGTTTTAAGATCTGAGTAGCTGCAAAATCCTACAACGAAGCTTTTTGTACTTTCAGAGACAAGTAAATTGTTGCAGAAATTATAGATAAAAGCAAGTGCCATTATCCCCTAGCATTTTTATTTCTTCCTCTTAACTCTTCCTTCTGGCAATTTCAGGGCCCAAGGGAAGTGAGGGAGGCTGTACTGAAATTTAAGGTTAGATGGATGGAGAAATCCTTGGTGTAGATCTAAAGTTATAGATCTCTGATATAGTTGATGGTTATTAACCAAATTTTTGTGTTAGAAATACATAATCTATGCTGATTCAGAAGAATGATCTGGAATGTCTGCATTTTTGAGGCTGGCCTTCTGGACAAATGGTACCTTGCATTTTGAAACAGAGGGCTCCAACACAACAGATTAGAAAGCATTGATTCCAGGGCCGGGCACGGTGGCTCATGCCTGTAATCCCAGCACTTTGGGAGGCCGAGGTGGGCGAATCACCTGAGGTCAGGAGTTCGAAGCCAGCCTGACCAACATGGAGAAACCCCATCTCTCCTCAAAGTACAAAATTGGCTAAGCCTGGTGGCGCATGCGTGTAATTCCCGCTACTCAGGAGGCTGAGGCAGGAGAATCGCTTGAACCTGGGAGGAGAGGTTGCGGTGAGTCAAGATCACGCCATTGCACTCCAGCCTGGGCAACAAGAGCGAAACTCTGTCTCAAAACAAAACAAAACAAAACAAAAGCATTGATTCCAGACAGCCTGGGTTTGAATCCTGGAGCTGCTGGTATGAACTCGTACAACTTAAGCATGCTCTGTTAAACAGGAATCCTGACAGTACCTACTTCACACAATTTTTGTGAGAATTAAAAGAATTGATGCATGCAAATCCCTCAGGACAGCACCAGACCCCTTGCAAGCCCTGTGAAGACTGGAACCCAGAAGCGATTACACCAGGGTGCCCCAGAGAAATACCTTAGCCATATGTCCTCCTTAGAGCCTCTTACACCTTGGCCTGCTTCTTAGACAAAATGTCAATTACCTTGATTTAAAGCGCAGGGAAGGTTTTGATGAAATGAGCACTTGCCAGAGAGTGAGATTATGGCCGGGCAGTCAGCGGGGCTTCCACGGTTCGCGTCTGTGCTTCCAACTAACATCCTCTGGGCAACTGATGAATTGAGCACTTTGTTAGTTTTATTCAGTGTTTTATTTTTGTTTTCCAGAAGGCATTTCTACTTCATCCCTGGAAGTTGTGCCAGAGAACTTGAATGGTTCTGCCATTCTCTTAACCTTGGAAGACTTCACTAGAGAATTGAAAAGAAAATCCGAGGTAATCGTCCACGAAACTTAAAACATGAGGCTGTTCTAAGTCTGGAGGACATTATGCTAAGTGAAATAAGCCAGACAATACCACATGGTCGTACGTATATGTGAAATCCAAAAACAGGTGAACTCAGAAACAGAGTAGAAAGGTGATTACCAGGGGTCAGGAGTGTGGGAAATGGGAGATGATGAACAGAGCATGCAGACTTTCAGTTACAAGTTAGTAAGTTCTGGAGACCTAACATACAGCGTGGTGACTACAGTTAGTAATAAAGTACTGTATACTTGGTATTTGCTAAGAGAGTGTATCTAAAGTCCTACCACCCCCCCAAGAAGGTAATTATGTGAGATAAATGAATATGTTAATTTGCTTGATTGTGGTCCTCATTTAAAAAAAGGTTTTTGGCTGGGCACGGTGACTCACACCTGTAATCCCAACACTTTGGGAGGCCAAGGTGGGCGGATCAAAAGGTTGCTAGTTCGAGACCAGCCTGGCCAATATGATGAAACCCCATCTCTACTAATAATACAAAAATTAGCCAGGCATGGTGGCGTGTGCCTGTAGTCCCAGCTACTTGGGAGGCTGAGGCAGAATAATTGATTGAACCCAGGAGGCGGCGGAGGTTATAATGAGCTGAGGTCGTGCCATTGCACTCCAGCCTGGCAACAGAGCAAGATCTCACTATGTTACCTAGGCTGGTCTCAAACATCTGGGTTCAAGTGATCCACCTGCCTTGGCCTCCCTAAGTGCTGGGATTACAGGTGTGAGCCCCCAGGCTTGGCCTGTGGTAATCATTTGACAATGTATCTGTATATTGATCATGTGTATACCTTAAATACACAACACATTTGTTTTTAGTTTTTTAGAAACAGAATCTTGTTCTGTTGCCAAAGCTGGAGTGCAGCAGTGCAATCATAGTTCACTCTAACCTTGAACTCCTGGGCTCAAGTGATCCTCCCACCTAAGCCTCCCGAGTAGCTGGGACTATGGGTGCATGCCACCACACCTGGCTAATTTTTAAAATTTGTTTTAGAGATGAGGTCTTGCTATGTTTTCCAGGATGGTCTTTACACTTCCGGCCAAAGGTGATCCTCCTGCTTCAGCCTCCCAGATAGCTGAGATTGCAGGTGTGAGCCACCAACCTGGCCTGATTTTTATTTGTCAATTGTACATCAACAAAGCTGAAAAAGAAGAAAGAAAGAAAAGCTAGCTCATTATGAATTGAAAGTAACAAGTTCGTATTATTTATCAATGCTCTTGTTAGCCTTCGTATGTGAAGATGCTCCTGAGTGTTTGGGGATGGGGGGATTTGTCACTGATTTCAGTGTCTTTGTGAATTGTGGTTTGTATTTATAAGACAGCTATTCCATGTCCATTTGCCCCACTGGGACCAAGTGGACCTATGTATACATCATACTGATGGTTTGGTTTCATTGGCAGCATTTTCAGATAACTGAACTACCAGAAAGCAATGATTTGATCACAGTAATAGACAGGGAGAAGGGGAAGGAGGGAACCAAGTGGACTAGAGAGGAGTCTGGGGCCGGGCATGGTGACTCACGCCTGCAGATCTCAGCACTTTGGGAGTTTAAGGCAGGAGAATCGCTTGAGGCCAAGAGTTCAAGATCGGCCCGTGCAACATAACGAGACCCTGTCTCTACATAAAATGTTTTTAAAAATCAGCCAGGCATGGTGACGTACACCTGTAGTCCCAGCTACTCAGGAGGCTGAGGTAAGAGAATCCCTTGAGTCCAGCAGCTCAAGGTTACATGTAGTGAGCTATGATCATTCCACTGTGCTCCAGCTTGGGCAACAGAGCAAGAACCTGTCTCTCTCTCTTTTTTTTTTTTTTTTTTTTTTTTAAAGGAGAGGAATCTGAGACAAATATGGAGGTGGACTGTGGGTTGGTGGTCAGCTGAGTGGTGGCAGAACTTTGAGACACTTTACATACAGCCCATCCCAAAATCTCATCTACAGGATAAATATTGGAACCATTTCAGCCTTCTCCTTTTTTGTCCCATTATTTATAAATCCCAAATGACTTATTGAGAAAACTATGTTACTCTAACCAACATTCATTTAACTAACTTAGATCTCCAGAGTCTTATTTTCTGTGATACCCGTGTAAGCCAATTTGTAATATAAATTTATTCATAGTATTCATTATATGTACTGGTAATATATTAGGCCATTTTTGAATTGCTATAAAAAAAAATCCCTGAGACTGGATAATTTTT